GCTGCAGGCAGGTGGAAAAGGGTATGGTCCACCTCAGTGGGTAGCAAAGAGGGATAATGCAGGAGCAAAGCTTTTTCCCTGATGTGCCATTGCCATGAGCATCCCCACCTCCTGTGTGCGGAAATTGTAGTCCAGGGAGTACTGCAGCTTTCCTCGATGCATCTGCTCCACTCCCCGCTCCAGGTCCTCCATCTCAGGCTGGACCTGTGGCATAGAGCAACACTACCCTCAGAATGTGCTCAGCCATGTCCCCGCCTTGCCATGCTCCCACAATCCCTGAGACTGGGAAGTGGAGCAGCAAATCTCTCAGGGAGAAGGGAGGTGGGACTGAGGGGAAAGCAGAACGCACAAGGCTGGCTGTGGTTGAGTTGCTGACGGGGCACAAGCTGATTCTCTCCTTCTTCTTGGGCTTCTTCTTGCCACAGCAGCACCTGATGATGCAGATGAGGAAGAGGAGGAGGAGAATGGCCCCTGCCACAGCCACGGCGATGAGCGCCCATTTGGGTACTGGTGTGGTGTTCGAGGAATGGAGTTGGACAGAACAGTTAAAACCAAGCAACACATACGGAGTGCATTTAAACCCCTTCCTGGTGCTTCAGCATTAAGGAGTTATACTTTCAAAATTGCCCCTATAATCTTGAACATTTCCCATGCAGGGAGGCTGCAGCTGGAGACCATTCCCCAAATGGGCAGCAAGGATGCCCTGCACTCCTGAAGCAGCATGGTATCACTCTGCATCATTCCCACCCTGAAGAACCCCACTAGAAAAAGGGATTTGGAGGGAGAGAGAAGTGAACATACAGCCTCAGAGTCCAGGAGCCCCTCCAGATAATGCTGCCTGAGAGTAGGCCAAGAGCTGCTGTACTCACATGGGATCCGGCTAAGCCAGCTGTCCAAGAAGCCCGGCCAAGCCGTGGTGGTGATGTTGGCATGCGGGGAGGTCGTAGTCCTGACTATCCTGGCTGCCACTGCCATGGCTGGGGTGACCTGAGGACACAGGCAAAATTAACAGGGTGGGGATTTCCTTTCTAGTAGCACCTGTGCTGACCGTGGCCCAGGGCTCTAATGAGAGCAAACACAATCAAAATACAGAGCCCAGGGTAAGCGGTTAGGGCTTGGCCACACTGGCAATGAGGTGTGAAATGGAGCTGGAGGGAGCCGCGGGCAGTGAGGGCTGTGCGCCAGCCGGCCCTTCGCATACAGCCTTCTCGTTCATACCCCTGCAAGTCTGCTTTCTGAAAGGAGAGAGATCTGAAAGGGAGGTGGATTAGGGAGTTTTCTAGGTTTTTTTTGAGAAGAGGAATCACCTGTCTGTAGGGGACAAAACCAAGACCTGTTCTGTGCTGGCTCCTCCCTGGCCAGGCATCTTGAGCTGAAGGGTTTGCTCCAGGAAAGCCTCATCACTAGCTAACACCTCTTTTTGGCTATTTTCCCCTCTCTCGCAGGGCTGAGGAGTGGGATGGTTGGCTCCTGGGCTTGCAGAAGGGCTGCTGCCCTCGCTGCCGGTGGCAGTGGTGCCACCATACTGGAGTCGCACCGGCTCGGAAATTTCCTGTGATCCTGACTTGTGCACATGGCAACGTTGACACAGCTTAAGGAAAGGATTCAAATTTAAAGCAGGGTGGTTTTACAGCACTGCTCTCCCCATGGCAAAGCTCTTATTCTAGCATTAGTGCTTCCTCGTAATGAAATTCCTTTTGCGTCAGCAGGAGAGGTGTGCCAGAAGCCAGGCTGCCTGGTGAGCGTGTCTGCAGCCATCACAGCAAGGGTGGCACCCAGCCCCCGTGCCATGACCAAGGCTGGCAGGTATGTGCCTGTTTGCCTTGGCTGCCCCAGCTTCCTGCCCTGTGTCCCAGTGGGTCCCTGCTCAAGCAGTCAACGCCACCTCGCCCTGCCTGCACTCTGCCCACATTCTGCCCATCCCAAGGTGCTCCTTGCACGGGGATTCTCCTGGGGAGAAATCACATCTGCACTTCCCTCTGCTGATCCCACAAAGCCAGCAAGAGCCTTTTATTTTTTCCAGCAGTGAGCTTTGCTGCACGTGGGCACAGGGCTGGAGAGACGTGGGAATTGCTGTCATCCCTGCAGAATCATTGCTGGGACAATGAGGTGCACATTAAGTGACTTGTCCAGGACCACGTGGGACTTCTGTGCCGTTGGATACCCAAAGTTCTGCTCAGGTATTCAGAGGTGCTGGCCTGCAGTTTCAGACTGTGTTGTAGGGTGGACACAACAACACCTCCGAACAGGCACCCACCCAGCACAGAATTAGTTGTCTCAGTACTTCTTGCCTGCCAGACCCCCACATTTGTCTAACATTAGCCCTGTTTAAAAAAACCTCATCCCAGCCCTGCAGAATTATCTGTGCCACCATTTGTGGAATGATAGTTACAGCCTTGCTGCCATCTGGGATAGGCAGCATAGTTTCAATGGGCAGTCTGCAGGGAGCATCGAGCATTCATGCTCCTGGAAAAGGGGCTGGGAGAACCCTGATTCTTGCTTCCACCCTATGCTGACTGAGTTCCCAAATCCAGACTTACCAACAAGTAGCTTTCTCAGCTTCAGTCTGCCTTCCCTGCTGCACGGGATCCAGGTCAAGCCACCATGCATGGCAGGGACATGCTGTGGGGTGAGATGGGACCCCACCAGGCGTGGAGCCGAGAGCACAGAAGGGATAGTGACTGCACAACACAGCCAAAACAGGAAAGTCTGCTTTGCCAGCTCAGGAACAGGGTGGCCTCAGCAGCTCCGTCAGCCCCACCTCGCCGCTGACCCAAGCAATGTTCATGCAGGCGAAAAGCCAGTGGGGAACTCCCTGCTGGACCAGGAAGCAAAACCTGCCCTCCTGCCTGCGAGAAGTTGATGGGCATCCTTGCCCAGCTCTATGCACTGGGAAATTCGCTTCTTCAAGTTATCCCTGCCAGGCTGGACTGTGTAGCTGCAGGCACTTAGCACAAGGGAATGGACACTTGCAGTGGGATGCAGTACTGCAGCCATCGCTGGTGAGCTCTGTACTTGGAGAGCCCAGCTCCCTGGCCACAGGGCACGCACCACGTGAGGGCCTTGGAAATGTGTGCGGCAGTGGCGATGAACAAGAATGCTCTGCTCCAACACATCAGGGAGGACAGACAGGGTGAGGGGATACTGCTTGGGTGGCTTCATCCCCCAAGTGCCAATGGGAGCAGCGCCAGGCACATAGCCAGGAACAATTTCACGGGCATCCCTGTTGAATTAAATTTATGCTTGTAAAGTTCTTCCCTTGCTGCCAATTCAGCAAAGTCTGCCCAAAACCTGCCTTATCACCAGGTAAATTTGGTGTGGTGTCAGAAGCAGGAAGCAATACTGCCAGTGCCTGATGGCTGACGTAGTCATGGGAGGAGATGCCCCGGAAGCCAGACCTGTCCCAGCTCTGCCCCACAACCCGGCTCACCGGTCCTGCCAGATTTTCACATGACCACCAAGGCATTGCCATACCAGGTGTCTAGCCATGGGGCAGGGGCTGGGGCTGCCCCTCAGCCACCCAAACCACAGCCCTACTCACAGGTGCCCTGCACTCCTGCTGCTCAGAAAAGCATCACCTCCAGGAGCAGGAGATGCTGCAGGAATGGTGCTGCAGCAAACCTCTGGGGGGGCTTTTGGCTCTAAACTGGCCAACCCAGAGGATGCACAGGAGAAATGCATTATGGGGGATGGGGGAAAAGGGAGTATGTCCAGTAAAATCAGTCAGGGAAAAGGGGTCTGCATAAACATGCTAAAAGCTGAGTATATCAGTAGCCTTTTCAACAGGCTGTTTGCTAGAGACAACTAAAAGAGGAGAGATTTAGATCCTAGGAAGAAATTCTTTAACTCAGAGAATAATGAGACACTGGAACAGGTTTCCTGGAGAAGTTGTAGCCCCATCCCCAGAAGAGTTCAAGGCCAGATTGGATGAGGCCCTAAGCAACCTGATCTAGTATGTGGCATCAGTGACCATGATGTAGGGGTTGGAACTTTAAGGTTCCTTGCAACCCAAACCATTCTATGGTTCTGTGATCTCAGTGAAGCCAAGTGCACAGGACCCTGGAGGCCTCCCACATTTTGAGAGGAGATTTGGTGATACTGGTGATAACCTGGTGTCATACAGGGAGACAGCTGCTTGGCCTTAGTGCAGGTAGGTTTGGTCTCCTTTGGCAGGAGCCAGGCTGGGCAGGCTGCTGCACTGGGCCTTTTTCCAGCAGTGCAGCAGGGACATGGCCTGGCAGGGCAAGGAAAAAGCTGCAGGATGGCAGCAGGTCACATCAGTTACTTTTGCCTTCTCCTTTCCACCCTTTCCCCTACCTTCTTCTCCCCCCACCCCCATCGTTGCCAATCACACTCTTGCAGAGGAAGGGGGTGTTGAAATATTCCAGCACCATGAGCCTCAAGGGGCTGGGTGCCACACAGCTACCCAGAAAAGCAAGATCCTAGCCCAAAAATCACCCCTGCTCAGGGCAGTATGTGAGAGACAGCTTTCAGAAAAGAAGGGAAAAGGCATCCAAAAACATTACAGGAAAATTGTTAAGTGTGGTGAGCCCCCTCTGCACCGTGCCACACTGTGCACAAGCCTTTGCTCCCCGCATCCCTACAGCCGCTGTGAGCCACTCTGGTGCAGGTACCCCTATATTTTTGGTCAAAACTACAAATGTAGTTTTCAGAGACTGGGAGAGGTCTAGAGGCAGGCTATAAATACTCTGGCGGCAGAAACAGATACCGCGGCAGTGCCTGTGGGCTGTGCATGGCCACTGAGCACAAGCTCCCAGGGAACTCCAGAATCTGGAATAGGGCTCAGCCCCCTCCGCAGCTTGGCCGCGGCCGTGTCCCCGACCAGGCCCGGGTGACCACGATCCGCCTGTGCAACGCCAGCTGGGAAATGCAGTCTGGCCCGGGCACGACGCCAACCACCTGGCTGCCTACAAATCCCAGCACGCCGGGGAGCGGAGCTGCACCCCATCCTGGCTCCTGCCTGCTTCCTGCCGGCGCGGGGAGGGGGAAATATAAACAGCGGCGTCTTGGGCAGAGCTGGGATGCTGCTGCTGGACAGGCTGCGCTGCGGAGCAGAGGCAGCGCTCGGGGTGAGTTTGGGCGTTTCTCTGTGGCAAAATCCTGTCTGTGTCTAGGGTGGGTGGCATCTGCCTCCTGCTACGCAGTGTGGGATGAGCTGCGGGGCACGCCTGTGTGCCTGTGCAGATATGCGTGTCTGTGCGAGCAGCACTGCGGGCATTAGGGGCGTTGGGGGCACGGAGGGGGAAAGGAGAAGTTAGGCTTGGTTTGCTGCGCTTGAAAGAACAGACGTTAGGAGGTGGATTGTCCCACCAGGAAGGGCTGCTCAGCTCCTTTGCCTCCTTGCATTCAGTTTTGACTTTCAGAAAAGTACTTGGCTGAGATTCTGTCAGAGGAAAGCTTCTCCCTGCTCGTCCAGGATGGTGGTTGCCACCCTCTGCCCTGCTCCCTGGGAGGAGACCCCTTCCCAGCATGGGATATGGGATGGAGGAAGCAGAGGGATGCTCAATATTTCCGGCTTTCCAGGCACCCCTGGATGAGGGAGCAGTCCTGCCACAGGACTTTCCACCCTGGGGGCAGTCAGGGGGTGCACACGCAGGCTCTGAGCTCCCCATGGCAAGGCTCTGGCTCTCAGGGCTGGCATCCCAAGTGTATTGCCTACCCAGGTTTTCTTAGTTAAAGAAAATTGGAACAAAAGAAAGGCCTCCCTGAAGACCCTGACTTGCCCTTTACACTGCATTCTGGCTTTGGTCTATGGGCCCCCAGCCCAGTAAGCAGGTAGGGCATGAACTGATAAATTAAGTTTTAACCCCCTTGCCATTCCCAGCAATCCATATAGAGCAGTCATTCTTCCTCTGCTCTCCAGAGAAACCCTGTGGTGTTTGTATCCAGGAGCTACTGGATGGAAGTAATCCCCATGGGATCTCCCTTGGTGGGAATGGGAACAGTTCCCATCCCACAGGCTGAATCCTAAAGGTCCATTTTTAGCACTGACTAGGTCACAGAAGTGGAGTGTACAGCATAGTGGTTACAGAAACCACAGGACCTGGGTGTACAAAAATAAATGGGATTATGATTCAGTTGCCCTCACAGGCAGACCCATGTAACTCCCCCAAGATTTTCATCTGCCAGACCTAGGTTAGCACTGAGACCTTCAGTGTAGGGCCTGTCTGGCTCACCCGGCTGTCGAGGGGCAGAGCAAAAGTAGCAAAAAAGGCAATAAGTATGTAAACTAGAAACTTACCCATAAGATTTGATCAATTTTGTCTTTTAAGACAGCCTTATTTTGCTGGGAAAACAGCTCCACAACAGCTTTCAGCAGTTCCACACAAAGAAAAATACCCTTTGAGAAAGATAAAAATAAAAATCAATGATCTGTGTTTGAAAAGCCACTTTTCCATCATATTTAATTGGAACTATTAGAACAGTTTTCCTGGGAGCAGAGCTGCTGCCAGCAGAAGCATGTTCATTTGGGCTGCTCCCCTTGGTGGGTAGGATGTCCCTTGTCTCCTTTTCACTCTTCCCCTTCTGTAGATTGGCTATATTATAATCTGTCTGTTTCATTTTATATTTTCTCTTAGGAGCTGAAAACTGAAGATGGCAGAGCCTGAAAGCACAGTCATAAACACCAATGTGAAACAGGTAAAAGGTTGTTCGTTACAAAACACACATCCGGTATTTCTAAACCGAGTTTTGAAATGCTGCCACAGGAGAGGACACACCACAACCCCAGAGCTGTGGTGGCCTGAGTTGCTTGTGCCTGGGTTTCAGTAGAAGTGGCCTGCTGAGCATCTGGTCCCAGGGAGGTCCATGGGATTTCCACATGGGAAGAAGTTGCAGGGCTGAACCTCCAGTTGCATGAAAAGGTCAGGTACATTTGCTCACACTTAAATTTTGGAGTGGACAGGGAGAAAGCAGCAGCTCCTGTACATTCACAGAGACTTTATTAGACTGTCCAGAACAGACACAAAACAAAGGTAAAACCACCAGTACATGCAGAGAAACCCAGCAGTGCCCAGCTCAGCACAAACAGATGATCATGGCTGTACTGTGCCCACAAACTGCAAAATTATGACACAGTCTCCTCTCTGTGAGCTGTCCTTGGAGGATGTGGGACATACCAGACAGGTTACGGTTTCACAACTGCCAGTCCCATCCATGGTGGCCTGAAGATGAAGACTGGGCATTGTACCTCTGGCATCAGGAATTGTGACACATGGGTGATACCTCCAGCACCCAACCCCATCACTGTGATCGGTGGAGCCCTGTTCCCCCCACTCACTCCATGATTTCCTTCTTTGCTGTCTCCCAACTTCTCTTTTCTCCCTGTCCTGCAGAAAGACCCCAGCAAGGCGCTGGTCATTGCTGTGACCACCAGAGCCATCTTTAACCTGGAGCAGGAGCACAAACTCTACCTGGAGAGGGGCAAGGAGGAGTACACAAGGCACCAGGAGGCCAACCAGCACAAACCTCTCCCACCAGGCACAGCCTTTGCCTTCATCCAGGTGAGCCCCACACCTGGCTAGTGGCACATGCAGGATGGGGTGAAAGCTCAGCTTTCCCAGCTTTAAGTCTCAGCTCCCATCAGAGGGTGCAGGCCCTGTCCTGGCCTCTTGGCCTCATTGCAGGGCATCAAAACCTGTGTTCCTCATTAGTCCATCTCCCCCATGGTGAAGTATCCTGCTCTGCTCTCCCAGCAATGGCTTTTGCAGGATGGTTGCTCCATCTGTCTCTCCATAATATGCCAGCCTTGCCATAGCTTACACAGCACAAACCATTAAACTCAACTGCAGAAGAGCCCCCGCAAAGCCACTGCAGTCATGCCTCTCCAAAAGAGTCCCATCTTGTCCTCACAGGCAGTGCAATATGTGAACAAGAAGATGCTGGAGAGCAACCCAGCAGAGAAGGACCTCTTCGACATCCTGGTGCTCTCCAACAACAGCCCAGAGAGCGGAGTGCGCATCATCAACAGCGCCAAGCACTACGGTAAGAGGGACCCATCCCCAGGAGTGCCTGCTTGCCCCAGGAGGCTGTGAAACAGATAAAGCACCAAAGTGGATCATCACTGGCAAATGGAGAGCCAGGGGAACCAAGGGGAAGGAGTTCTCTTTTAAACAAGCCCAGTTCCCGCCAGCCCAGGGTGCCGGAGCACACCCAGGGTACAGGCTCCTTGGCAGAGGAGCTCCCTTCAGCCATGTCCTTCACACCAGGAGGTCTGGCAGTATTCTGCACAGCCTGGACATCCCCAGTCAGCTACTGAAAAAAAGCCAGTTCTTTAAAAAAGGCCTAATAATCCTAGAGTGCTGTCATGAGGACTGCTCATTTAAGGAGGGATGGAGGGAATATTTAACAGCACTCCACAGTTTTGTAGGATCGATAGAACAAGAACATGCAGCCAGAACATGGGTGGGTTCCCCAAACAGCACTGGAAAATTCATTGCCCTGAGCTACTGCAGCAAACCATGCCAAACCCAGGGAGGGAGTGCGGGGCTGTGAGGAGGATGTTGCTCCTTAACAGATTTTTCTCACATTCCCTGACCTGAAGGCCTGGAGATCTCCAAGTTCTGCTTTGTCAGCGATGAGGACTCCACACAGTACCTGAAGTCCCACGGGGTCAAGCTCTTCCTCTCAGCTGACAGGACAGATGTCTGCAATGCCCTCCAGAGAGGTGCGTTCTCCTCTCCATCCCATGTCCCCAAATACACCACACTTTTCCCAAGTAGCCCAGTACCAAGAGGCAATGCCAGACCCAAGCTTTTGCAGGGGCAAGGGGTGGATGGCCTTGATTATCAGTACAGTCCTAAACAATTCAATCTCCTATGCTTACCAGTAGCCTGGAAACACACCAGGGTTGCTCAGATGCTTTCACAAGTCACTGAGTGCTTTGTGCATCATTCTGGCCATAGCTCTGCCATGGCCTGGTCATTCCCTGCCTGGCATTTAAGCCTTTCTAACCAAAGATGCAATGGCATGGCTGCTCCCTGGATCAAAGAGAGTACATCAGTGATTCCCAGGGCTTTGTGAGGATGCCATAGAAATTTGCTGCCTTGGTACACGCAGAGTTACTGTGTGCTGAGAGATAGATGAAAGCACATGTTTGACCTAGATTGGAGGGAGTGCAGTCTCCCCAACAGCTCTAATGGGGTTAATCGCCTTCCTGTTAATTCACTTGGGTATGAGCACATCAGCTGGCCACGTTCTTCAAGGTCAGGAGCAAGACATCTGCAGCCTGGACTTCACTACACAGCACATTCCTGGAGCCTCCCTGAGAGCATCATTGCTCTGACAAGTGTCTCCCATCTGGGGGCTGGGTTCATGGATGAGGGCGGGCAGGGTGCAGCTTGTAGGAACTAAGCCAAATTAAGCCAATTACTCCAATCAATGGAGATGCCAGCCTGTATTATTCACAGCGCAGAGCTAAATCTGGGCATTAAAGCCAGGCTTGGCAGGGTGAGCGAGCACCAGGAGGAGGGCTGCTCATGCCTTGACAACCACACACCATCTCTTAGCAGAGATCTCTTGATCTCTGATCAGCAGCACTTCCTTGTCCATCCCCCTAGAGGCATAACACAGTCCTGGACAGGCTGGGCCAACTCCCACAGAAGGCTCCATGGCTTGGAGACCCTGGCATGGTGGTGTGGGATGGGGCTGCAGCAGATGCATGGGGAGGAGCTGGCCATGCATGAGCTGCCCCCAGGGGGGTTGTCCTTCCTGACCCCCACCTTGCTCTGTCTCACAGGGGTCTCGGCAGCGCTCGTTTTCCAGCAAGAGGTGCAGGCCCCCAGCACCCCACTCCGCGTGGTGTTCGATGGGGATGCCGTGCTCTTCTCCGACGAGACGGACCAGATCTTCCAGGAGCAGGGCCTGGAGGGGGCAGTGCAGTACGAGCGGGCAATGGAGGCTGTGCCCATGGGAGAGGTGAGCATGCCACCTTGCTTCCATGGGCATCCTACAGGCTCTGCCATTGCTCCCACTTGGGCTTTGCCATGAGCAGCCAAAAAAGCACAAATCCTTACAAATTCCCTAGGCGTTCACCATTCAGTCCCTGGTGTGGGCCTGATTTGGAGTCCCCCTGGAAATGGATCTGGCCTGTTGTCTCCTATAAGTGAGCATCAGCTCCCAAATATCTAGGGTTGTGGTTATCCTCAACATCACCTTTTGTAGGCTGTGACCTCTTGCAGGACTCAGACCCAGAGGCACTGCTCACTGAGATGTACCTTCCTGGTCACTTTGGGATTAGGGTGAGCACCACAAGGCTCACTTTCCTCCCGAGCACCCCAGTGCACCACACCAGTCCCAGATTGCCCAGCCCTGCAGCCCACAGGCATTCCTGTGCTCTGCAGAGCCCTGAGGAACCCTGGAAGAGGAAGAAGTGGCTTGTACAGTCAGAGTAGATGTCTCCTTATTTCTCACCCGCTCCCAACTGTCTTGCTGTGCTTCCAGGGTCCCCTGAAGACTTTTGCCATGCACCTTGGGAAGATGCGCAGGAAGTTCAGCCAGGAAAAATCCCCCATCCGCACCTACCTGGTGACTGCGCGCAGCGGCCGGGACATGGGCATCCGAGCCATCAAGACACTCCGGGAATGGGGCCTGGCCATCGATGAGGCTTTCTTCATGGATGGGGCTCCCAAAGGCCCCATCCTCGCCCAGATCCAGCCTCACATTTTCTTCGATGATGGGCTTCATAACATCCAAGGGGCTCAAAATGTGGGTGTGCCCTCTGCCTGGGTCCCCCCCTCCTGCTGATGGGCTGCAGGCCAGCAGTCCTCCCTCCCAGCCACACAGGAGACAGGGCCAGTTGGAGGCAAAATTTCTGGTGGAGAAGGAGAGATTTCCTGACATGCAGCAAGTAAATCTCAGGAAAAGGGGACATGAGCGTGGACTCCCATGCAAAACTTGATGCTCATTTCTGCTCCTGGTATGAGGTCCTTTAGGTCTTAGGGTAAAGCTAAAAGATGCTCTAGGAGAAAGACACCTTTGCTGTGACCCTGAGGACTATACCTACCTGCCCAGTAGGACCTGGGGACTTTTCTCAAAGAATTAAGTGAAGCTAATGCCATGCACATGAGCTAAAGGAAGCTTTAAAAATGGTAGCTTTGGCTGTTCTCAGGCAGTCTCCAAGATGGAGCAGCACAGAAAGGACATCAGCCTGTTGAGGCGAGTCCAGAGGAGGGCCATCAAGATGAGTAGAGGGATGAAACAGCTCTCCTATGAGGAAAAGCTGAGAGAATTTGGTTTGTTTGGCTTGGAGAAGGCTTCAGGGTGACCTAATTGCAGCCTTCTGGTACCTGAAGGGGCCTACAAGAAAGATGGGGAGATTCTGTTTACAAGGGCCTGGAGGGACGGGATGAGGGGTAATGGTTTCAAACTGAGAGTAGGTTTAGATTAGATATTAGGAAAAAATTCTTTACTGTGAGGGCTGTGAGGCACTGGAACAGGTTGCCCAGGGAAGGTATAGATGCCTCATCCCTGGCAGCGTTCAAGACCAGGTTGGGTGGAGCTCTGAGTCTGATCTAGTGAAAGGTGTCCCTGCCCACCCCCTACCCTCACAAGGGGGTTTGGAACTGGATGATCTTTAAGGTCCCTTCCAACCCAGGCCATTCTATGATTCTATGATTTATTCCCAGGTTCTCTGCCTAAAGGGAGCCCTCAAGACCCTGCCTCACCAGACAAACTCAGCTTGGTTTCCTGAGGACACTGATGTGCTAGCAAGGCCTTCAGGCAGCTCCAGCCAAACTTAGAAGAGAAAGATTTCAAAACTGTAAAGTACCTACAAACCTTTTAGAAATGAGTGAACAGGTGGAAGAAAGAAAGCCGTTATTAAGCTATTCCCCCTTATAGAAGAGATTATAGCACAGGTCAGTTTTCCTTAGGCATGCAGAGAGACACAGACCTGTAGGACACTCTGCTCCCAGAGCTACAGGACAGCGGCAAGCTGCAGCCCAGCGCTGAGGTCCATCCAGGAGACAGAGCTGCCACGTAGCTCCGATGTCCCACCAGGAGAGGGCAGTGGAGATGGGCTGCCTGCAGCACAAGCCATGCAGGAGCCAGGGCTGCAGACCAGCCCCCGCAGGGGCCAGCGCAGGACTGCGTGCTGTGACCAAGCTAAAATGGGTCTCCAGAACTGTGTGTGGAGGGCATGGGTGAGGGTCTCAGGAGCAGCTGCTCCCTGCTGATGGGGTCTGAGGGTGTGCTCAGTTCTCTGGCATCATGGCCCACCCCATGCAGGGCAGCCTCTCCTCCGGCAGTTTGGACTCTGCTTCTCATTTTCCTGGGGGAACAAGCAGCCCCCCAAGGTTCATTTGCAGGTTTCTTTCCCCAGGGAGTTGCCACTAGAGGCCACTGTGCTGCTTGAGGACATGGCACCTCAAATCCCCACCAGCTCTCCAGAGTCACCTCATAAAAAAACCCAAACTGGCTCCACAGGTGGCAGCAGGATTATGGACTGAGGAGATAAAGACAACGCTGGCTTAGTTTTTTTAATCTCAGCATAATCATTAATTTTTTTAAACGCTTCAGAAGTGTTGCTCTCTTTTCCAATGCTTTTTCTCCCCAGTAAATAAATAAACAAGCATCCCATTGTGAGTGCTTGTTCCTCATGCCTGTGTTCAGCAGTGTGGGAGGAGGGGTGGGATAATTTGGTGCTCCTTTACAGACACTCAGTTATTTATTAGATGTTATACACATTCATCCAGATGGGTTAAATACACAATAAACTTTTAGTGGGCTTTGGATTAGGCTCCTGAATGTTATCTTGTGTCTGTGTCCCCCAGGCTTATTCCTGCTACCTTGGGTTTGGGGACTCTGCACACCTCGGCCCAGCAAGGGGTGCTGCTGGCCCCACCATGCCACCAGCACAGGTTCTGTCCCTGCTATTGTGGCTAAGAGAGGGTAGGGATGCCTGTGTGCAGGGCTTTAATAGGAAGCCACCTCCAAAGTAGCAAAGCCTGGCAGAGTCTTGGCACTGGGAGCCTGGCCCCCTGCCCTTTTGCTCAGTCTAGATGCTGAAATTAGATGTTTCAAGTTAGCAACATCAACAACATCAGCTACTCATCATCTGCTAATAATGCTAAGCAGCCATCAGCTGAGCAAACATTAATTACAGGATGCTCAAAACACAACCGGTAAGCAGGTACAGATGTTCGTCCCACTTTCATGCAGGTCAGACACCACCAGGCTCAGTGCAGTGATCCAAGTGCCCATGTCCAGCACCCCCAGCTGCTTCCACGGCAACTGGTGGTGGGGGCACAGAGTCAGTGGTGGGGGTGACGGTGGTCCTCGACATCCTCCCCCACTCCAATCCATCACATTTGCCAGTGCTTGGACAGGGCCAGTGGGAGCTTGGTCAGTGCCTTGGGCAAGAGGAAATCAGCTGAGTCAAGAGTGGTGGGAACAGGCCCGCGTGAGCCGTCGCAGTGTGAGGGATGCTGAGGCAGGGGGAAAGTGCCGCATGCCTTCCTCCAGCACTGTCAGCACATTGGGGAATGACGGGGCAAAACGTGCCCAAAATAGGAAAAAAAGGAAGGAAACTCAAGGCTTGTGGGGTTGCATCATATAGGGCCAAGTGCAGCTGCTTGAGGCCATGGCTCAAACATGTAGTATCCAAACTGCCCTTTTTGCCCTGCTCTGAAGATGGAGCATCAGAAACAACCTCCACAAAGGACTGATACAGCTTCATGCCCTGCTGCACAGACAGACTTGCTGTTTATGTCTTAGAGGAGTCTGTAATAAATTCATTAATGCTTGGGATGCTCCTTAGGTTTTGGCTTTCTAGGGCATCTTGATCTCCCTCCTTCAAGGGGTTGCTTGATGCCCAAGGGTCTCTTGCTGCTACAGCCCAAAGAGGGTTTAGCTGCTGGGGCTGGCTGTGGCATGTTTCTCTTATATCCATCTCATGTTTTGGTGGCTAGGGCAAGGCAGGAGCACCTGTGTCACCATCAGGTACAGGCTCCCTTTGAACCCTCCTGGGTTTCACACCTTTCCACTTCAGGAAAAGAAGTGCAAAGGGGTGAAAAGTGGACTCTGAGGACCTGCACTTGATTCTGACCATTGCTTTCCAACAAAACCCTTCAACCCCAGCCAAAGCTGCCTGGTGTCCAGGTTTCCCCCTCTGGCACTGCTTGGGACACGCCCAAGACACCCTCCTGGTCCAGAGAGGTAAGTGGGCAATGCCCGCCTCCGCTCAGCTGCGAGCAGACCAGCTGCCTCCTCTCCCGAGCCCAGTCCTGCCAGCGATGCCAAACAAGTGGCCTTTGTTTCGGGGTGGGGCACGTGACCCCAGGGATCAGAGGCTGCAGCTGCCTGGCCCTGAGGAGTTTGCAGGAGACCTTTGCCCAGGACCATGCCCTTAATCCCCCACTCACTGCACCAGTCAATTCAGAGTTGCAATGCTAAAAACAAAACAATCCAGCACTAAGGGAAAGAAATGGTTTTATGAAATGGTGGTAAGTGCAGGGAGGGAAGACTGGTGGGTATTTATCTGCTAACAGATGTCTGCAGTGGCAGTGTCCGAGCTGTTCAGCTTCATTGACTCCTGGCTGCAGCATGAGAGGATGCTGGAGGCTGCAGACCTGGGCACAGCTGCAGTGTCTGTCAGGGATGCTCCCACACCTCCCTCCACCCATAACCTACAAGCACCTTTGGCCACAAGTACAGAGCAAAGCATCTTCACATTTTTGACCACAACCCTAACTCTAAGTCACCCTGGTGGCAGTGCTCCTTGGGAAAACATTCAGGGGTTCTCAGCCAGAGAGGCTGAGATGCCACATCCCACACTGCAAAAAATTATTAACAGGGTGTTTTGTGTGTAGAAGGTCAGAGAGAGGGTGTGCAAAGCCACAGTCTCTGTTTGCTGACGTACTTAAACCTGGGTTCAAAATCTTAACCCCAGGCAGTCACACTGAATATAATGGCTGAGGTGGCACGTGAAGATGGAGCTTAGGAGAAAGGTGACAATGAGTTACAATTCAGAGCCTATGTAGGCATATTGACACAGCAGAAACTGCCCCAGGAGGTCCAGATTGATTCACCAAATCACCAGTGGAAGCTGGTTGCTCCCAATCCAAGAAAACACATTGCAACTTTAAGCCGATCCTTGGGTTGCAATGGGGTGTTGACCCTCGTCTTCCTGAGCCCACACTCCTCCCAGGATCAGAAGTCTCAATTGCTTCAGTGTTTTGTCACATTGAGGAGACATGATTGCACAAATGATGGCCTTCTTGGGGCAGCTTCTGCTGGAAATTAAAGAAAATAAATGACATCTAGTGCTGGCTAAGAAAATGAGATGGATGGTGTGCTTGGATGTGGCTGGAGACACTTCTCTTTATCGTGCATGGAAACCCACCGAGCAAGCCGATACCCCCAACCACACGTCCCAAGCTGGGCTCACATGGGGACCGCAGCAGGGATTGCTCAAGGAGATGACAAGGTGAGTTGGGTCCCTGTGCTCCCCATCACATCCTGGCGTGGGTGGGGATGAATCAATACCATCATTGCCACTTACCACCCCATCCCGTCAGCCGCCGGTCACGCTGCCTGCTGCCAGCGTCTGCCAGGATTGTTGTTGCCTGTCCCTGGCAATTTCATCCTGCTGCTAAATAACGCGGGTGAGGCAAACAACACGAGATTCCTGCCCTGAGGAGCAGACGGAGCTAGCAGTCAGGGAGAGGCAGGTCCTCCCCTCCTCAAGGTGGGTCCCAGGTGTGTCACCAGCCATGGAGAAGGATGGGCCAGGGGATGACAAAGGACATCCAATGCCAAGCAGGGTCAGGAGCGGGCAGGTGGTGTGGGGGTGGTAAGGATTTGGGCAGGGCCACGGAGTGCGTGGGACACAGGGACAGGCAATGTCGAGTTTGGCAGCAGCCCACTGAGGCAAGGTAGTGTGCAAGTAAACCCTAGTGAAGACACCAGGGCAGCTCAGAGCCCTAAAGACCATAAGTATTTTGCCACACAAATGCTTTCTGTTTTTTTCAATAGCTAGAGGGGAAAGGCTAGAAGAGCAGGATCTGATGGAGAAGTCCACTGGCGTGAAAGCACTTCATGCTCAAAGGCTGCTGCAAATGGCCCTGATGGGGATGGAGCCATTCTCAGGGCTCCTGCCTGCCGTGACACCCAGTTGTGTCACCCAGCCACTGGTGAGCCGTCCTTGCCTGCCACTGCGACAAGGGTTTGCAGCACAAGGGACACCAAGGGAACAATTACCACCCAGCCTAAGCCTTTTGCAACTCCACTTAGCATCTCCACAAGGTCACTGCAGCCCATGCTGGCAGCCAAAACATGTTTAAGCAGGCTGCTGGCCAGCTCTGCCTCCAAACCAGCCCCAGTCGGCCGACACCAAGGGACCGGGGATTGCCACCACCCATGATGCCAAGGACATCTCACCCAGCGCCCACAGAGAAGGGACACAATGGTCAGGGCCTACATGAGTCACTTTGTCATGCTCAGTGCAAACCCTCCAACGCTTCCAGGTTTCCCATCAGATGGAGCTACTACTAAACCACCTTCAGGTTTGCTTTTGTGGGTATCACCCAGCAAGAGGGTGTAATTTGGGATGTGCCAGTGCCACTGGAAAACGCACCCTCACCTCGTGAATTGTACATCAGTTTAGGAAACAGTGTTGGGAGTGGGTGAGGTCCTGGCATTGTGCCAGGAAAAAGTTACTACTGCTACACTCAGAATCCCAGGGATGGTGAATCAGGCTCTGCTAATGAGGTGCATCCAGCACCTTCACACCGGCACCAGCACCTTGAGACAGAGTCAGGGTGTTTGAAACCAGACTTGCCCAGGCTTGTGCGCCTGTAGGCTCTGCTCAGCTCAGACGGAGGAGTAGTTTTCTCTTTTAGCAACGAGCTTTGAAACCAGAAATGCATTTTTTTGAATTTGAAGACATTTCTCCTCTAAACATCCCACCTGCAGCTTGGCAAAAAAAAAAAATAATCTGCATTTCTGAACTGAAGCTTTCCTTGTCCTTTAGGTCACTGCAGCTCAGGGCATTGGCTACCATTATGATAAATAAATATAGAAAAAAACATGGAGGAAAGGGTGAAGGCAAACACACAGCTATACATAAGGACAAACAGGCCACCGTAGCATCCCTGACAAAGTGCTGTCAGACTGCAAATGAAGCCCCCCCAGAATAAGATGTTTGAAACTGAACGTGAGCTGGCAGTGTGTCCAGGTGGCCAAGAAAACAAATGGCATCCTGGCCTGTATCAAAACTAGTGTGGCCAGCAGGGGTAGGGCAGGGATACTCCCTCTGTACTAGGCACTGGTGAGGCTGCACCTCAAGTCCTGTGTCCAGTTCTGAGCCCCTCACTGCAAGAAAGACACTGAGCTGCTGAAGCGTGTTCAGAGAAGGGCAGTGGAGATGGTCTGAAGCACAAGTCCTATGAGAAGCAGCTGAGGGAGCTGAGGGTGTTCGGCAAAAAGGAAGCTCAGGGGTGATGTTATTGCTCTTTACAACTACCCGAAAGGGGGTTGTCATGTGGTGGGGGTCAGCCTTTTTTCCCAGGTAGCAGGTAACAGGATGAGAGGAAACAGCCTCTAGCTGTGGCAGGGGACCTTTATACTGGATATTGGAAAAATTTCTACCCTGAAAAGGTCTTCAGGTATTGGAAGGGGAAGTAGTAAAACCACCATCCCTGGAGGTATTTAAAAGGAAGGCAGATGTGGTGCTGAGGGTTTAGTGGTGGACTTGGCAGTGCTGGGTTAATGGGTCAATGATCTTGAGGGTCTTTTCCAACCTAAAGGATTCTGTGATTATAAACTAAGCAGCATCCTGTCCCTGCCCATGTGGTAACAGGGCAGGTGGGACACCCTGATGTCACTTGGCAGAGGAGACCCCAATCTCCCAGAGTTGGGTTCTCTTCCCAGCTGGAGCCTCTGGAGCTGAGTCATTTGACACCCCCCCCACCTTGGGAATCCTCTCAAGCAGGGATCAAGGTTGCGAAAGCACGGCCAGCTCCCAGGGGCGCGTCACCCCACACCCACGGCTGTGGCTGCGGGGGACAGTGCTCCAGTTCACCCCCTCGAGCCAGGGGTGATGCAGGGGGCCAGGGAGACAGACCAGCAAGGAGAGGGGTTCATCCACTGTGGCAAGAATAGGAGTGAGGAGGAATAGATCCCTCAGCTGTCTCTCACACATCTCTGCCTTCTCTAGACACCTCAGCCATGGCACTCCCTGGCTTGCTCCATAAACAAAGAAAAATGTGTAAAAAACTCTGATCCCAGGCTCGTGCCAGTTTATCTTGTAAAGATAAACTCTCACAGTCCCAGCCTATAAATACTCAGACGTGCTTCCAGCTCCTGTTTAAACATACCCACTGTACCTCTCAAGGCTTTGACATCAGGGCAAACATTCCAAAGAGGTGCTGAGGGAGCCCAAATGCAGAAATCCTGGCTCCTTGCTGGAGCCACCACTCCCTCAGCATACAGGCACAGCAGTGTCAGCTCCAAAACCACTGGTGCCAAGAGCCAGAGCCAGATTGAACATTCTGGGGGATAAGCCCCCCAGTCCCTTCCCACCCTGCGAGCACCCAGGAGAGATTCAGTATTGTAACAATTCCTGACACAGCCCCATCCTCACTTTTTCCCAATAAACCATTGGGAAGTGTCTGGCCTCACTGGTGCTATGGACACAGAAGTCACATGGAGCAGCCCATTTAAAAGCAGAGACCCTCTTGCACTGGCACGAGAGCAGCTCCGGATGAGGACACAAACCCTGTTACCATGAAGCTCAAGCAAAGGCTCGTTTCTAACAGCTTTGCTAACAGCAAAGCTTGCCTTTAAATCTCTTGGAATTAAAGAAACAGATATAGATGCGTACAGACTTCTTGACTCTGCTGAAAGACTTTGCTCTGCAATGTGTGATGGTACAGGGCATGCCATCCTCACCAGCCCATCCCTGCGTGCTGGAACCCAACTCCATAGCCACAGGATTCTGGCAGAGACTGGCCAGACTGGAAACCCTTGAGGAGAAGCTGCTGTAGGTGCTCCAGCCTGGGGCCCAGGTTGCATTGCCTGGCCAGCTATGATTTCCCAGCCACTTCAAAGAGCAGGGAGGATGGCTGGTACTTCATGGGCTGCACCATGGGCTCCAGGAAAGACTGTAAGGGGTGAAGAGGAGCCCTGGGCCTGGCGTCATGACTATCCCTTTTGTCTGCAAAGCACATTTGCAAAGGGGTCTAGAGCCCTTGGGGAGGGTGGATTTGTTTGGGTGGGACCGCAGTTGGGTTACTTTATGTCTGACCCACTCCTGCCCGCGGGCTCAGCACAGGGCTGCCAATACCCAGGGGGACAAGAGGAGGAGACCCGCAAGCTGGAGCCCACAGCAGCAGCAACAATGCCTCTGGGGCCAGGCTCCAGATGCCGGGGACCCACTACGTCTTGGCCCCTTGCCTGAAAGAACCACACGGGGTTTCGCTGAGTCACACAGTGCTGCGGGGCCAGAAGGGTGCCGGGTTTTGCTGACTCATGGTCAGTGGCACTCGCCTTGACCACACGCCCGCAGGGGCAGGAGGGAAGCAGGTGCTGGCCAAAGTAACGGGACCCACCAGGTTCAACCAGTGCCTCTGGCCATCACTCCAGAAAACCTCATCCCAACGGGGAGCCATGTCCCCATGGGGAGGCAGCAGGATTCCTGATACCCACCAACTTGACTGCAGGCGTGGCAATTTGGAGAACTAGTGGGATGAGAGACAGGCCAGGACAGAAATGTCTCCTAAAAACAATCAGAACGGACCACACTTGTTGGGGTGGCAGGCATGAACCCAGGGATGCAGGATCCTTTATGAAGCCATGGGTGGATAGAAAAGGCTCAGGGACAGTGTGTGGGAAGGAGATGGTGCAAGTGAGGTGCCAGCAACATGACCCAGCAATTTTCCAGAAGTTGCATGAACGTGAAGGTGACGGGAGAGGGACAGAGACCTCACCACGAAGCCAGGGGTCCCCCACTCCAGCAGTGCTCAGCTCATTCCACAGGCTGCTGCTCTCCCATCCCCAAGAACACACAAGCAGGAACAGAAAAAAAAGCACCCCTAGCCCTCAGGACTTGGAAGGGAAAATGTCTGTAAATCCGGTTTCATTTATATTGTTTATCCAGCAGATCTCGTGGCTCTGTAAAAGCTCGGTCAGAGCAAACCGGGCAGAGATTAGCTCTCCCAAGCCAGCACCGTGCCACCTCCAAGCCCTGCTGTGACACCTCGGTGGGGACAAAGAGCCCATCCTGGTGATCCCTGATGCTCAGCCCTGCAAATGGGGGCAGGGGGTGGTTGACCACAGCGTGATGGTGGCCAGTGCCTTCCCAGCACTGCTGCAGTGCATTTTGAGGGGTGGCAGATATGGCTCGGCACTCCTCCAGTGCCACCCAAAACCAAAAAAAAAAGCTGTGGCCAAGTTACATGCCCATCTTCCCCAGAAACCCCCAGCTCAGAGGGATGAGTCCCCCCAAATTGGCGGTGTCCTGTGGCCAGGGAGGAGCACGGGGTCTGGGGGGGCTGCCACGGCCCCCCGGGGCGGGAGGTGCAGAACGAACCCCCCCGGTGACTGCCGGTGGGTGGCCGAGGTCCGAGAGCAGCCGAGGCCTCGCCGTGCCCGGCTTGGGAGGGGCTGCTGGCTGGGGAGCGCGTCCCCCTCACACCACTTTCGGGAGGGTGCGAAAAAAGGCCGGAAAACCTGGAAAGAACAGAAAAAAAACACCCAAGAGGGGGAAGTTAAAGTCAGGGCAGAAGGAGCACGCGCGGCCGGGAGGGCCCCTCGTGACTGATTTCACGCTGTTTATTCCCGTTTGGCGGGGGCTGAGTCACGGCCCGAGGCGCCGGGGCCAGCCCGGCAGGGGGGGCCGTGAGGCAGCGCCCCCGGGCCCGCTCCCCGCTCCGCTCCGCCCCGGCCCGGCCCGGCCCGCCTTCACGTGACGCCGCCCGTTGCAATTTTAGACCGTCAGCTGACTCGAGAAATCCCTGGAGAGGGGCCGCCGTGACTACAAAAACAGGGACGGCAGACCGGGAGCGGTGTCGCGGCCTCTCAGCGTCGGGACCCTCCAGCCTCTGACCCCCCCCCCCCGTCACCGCCATCGCCGCCATGGGGCCCCGCGGCCTCCTCTTGCTGCTCGCCCTGGCCGGGTCCTGCGCCGCCCTCATCAGGTGAGACGTGGGGGTTGCTCGGGGGCTGCTGAGCCGCCCGGGCGGAGCGGGGGACGTGGGACAGGCACCGCCGGTGCTGCTGCGGCGGTGGCCTAAGGGCTCCTCTCGCAGCACTCCCACACGGTGCAGGGGGAAGGTCTGGGACCACCCCCCCACGATGGGGGTTTAAGGGCTCCAGCTCTCCCTGCTCATGGAGGGGCCTCTCGCTCCAGCTTCCGCTACACCTGGTGACCTTGGGCAGCCAACCCAACTCCTCCCGGCTTTGGGAAAAGCACTGAGCGCAGCACAGCATGGGGGTCCAGCACGTCGTGCTGGCAGGAACCCAAACCTCATCCACCTCGTGCTGGCGTGTCCCCTGTTTTCAGTGGAGTCCTGCTGCCCCCCTTCCACGGGCCCACCCATCCTTACACACACCCGTTTAACAGGTGGGTGTTTGCCTTCCCCACACAGGATCCCCCTGACCAAGTTCACCTCCATGCGGCGGGTTCTGAACGAGGTCGGCAGCGAGATCCCAGATGTGAACGCCCTCACCCAGGTCCTCAAGTTCAAGATGGGCTTTGCTGATGCGGAGCCCACTCCCGAGATTTTGAAGAACTACATGGATGTGAGTAACAACCCCCTGCCAACCGCCCCCTCACTGCAGTGGACCCCAGCACACGGCAAGCAGCTGTCACTTCTAGGGGTACCCATCCCAAGGAGGTGGTGGGATATGCCAGCCTCACTGTCCCACCACAGCTGGGAAGGTAAAGGAGGGAGAGATGTTGGTCTCATAGGACAGTTTCATGCACCTCCATGGCTTAGTGGGTGGGCGTCAAAAGGTGCTTCCCATCATTGCTAAACTAAAAATATTAATACTAATAATTATAATAATAATGACAACAGCAAACAACCCACTGCCACCCAAGCAGGAGCATTTCAGTTTGTGACCCATTTCCTTTCCCCTTTGTCAGTAATTAACAGTCATAAATAGAGGCCTGCTGACTTGCAGTCCTTCCTAGCCCATTTGGGTAGTACTTTTGGCAAGACAGGGGCATAAAAATCATGCTCCACTCCTTAAGGCATTGAGGCATAAAACAGTGAGCACGGGGTAGAGGAAGAAGGCTCAGACTGGGAGCCAGCTTGTTACGGGACTGGGGATGCAAACTTCCTCTCCCTGTTCTCCATTATTCTACACTGCCTTGGGAAAAGCCACCCTGCACTTCCACTTTCTTCTCAGCAACTTAGGGAGCAAGGGGACCTTCGTGGTGGTGAAAAGAGAAGCCAGATAAAGGACATGAAGTTTGCCCTTGCCTGGCTGCCAGACACATGTGGGGTTTACTATTTCTGGGTGCCTCACTGGGTACCTTCACAGCTCTTGGCAGGGTAGGATGTGAGCACTGGCTGTCAGAGTAAGCTAGCCTCAGATATTTGGGCATTCATTCAGGATATTGCCCCCTGCTTCCCTTTTCCAGGGGCTCTTGTCATCCCGTCTGCACCGTCCTGTGCTGGGAAGGGCCACCTCTGTTTCAGTTGGTCGTGTTGAAAGCCAGGGCACCGCGGTTATGTCACGGTGTTGTCTCTTGCAACCACAACTCAGACCGCCTCAGGGAAGGACTGTTCTCCCTTGTCACAGGGGCACCAGTGCAACCTGTGGTGGGAGATAAGGAACCTTTGGGTCCCTCCCGGCCTGGCTGAAAAAGCTTTTGCCATGGAGGGAACTCTTGAGCCAAAAGGCACGACCCGCCCTAGAGTGCTTCGTATGCTCCATTCCGGCCCTGGGACCCTTTGTGGGTCTGTGTATGTGATGTACAGGGCCCCTGTAGGGGGGGTTGATTTTCAAGCCCCGGCAATAATTACAGAAACACTGAAAAACAAGTGCTGCCTCCCCATTTTGGCTAATTGCAATGGATTGTTAATTACTCGGGGAGCAACCCTTGCAAACTAAGCGCACAGGAGGTAAACAGCTTTGATAATCCTGTTTTCTCCCTGTACCTTAATTAAGTGCATGGGGGGTTTGGAAAAGCTACTGGCTGACTTCCCTTGCTAGCAGCCTTCTCTCCAGGGCTCTGATCGAGCTGCTCACCAGGCGCAACACAGCCCTCTGCCTGTTTGGTAGGACTGGGATAAAATAGATCCATAAAAACAGGCTCCCAAAAGGGGACCTACCTAGTATTCCCTATTCATTCTCTCCTCTGCGGGTAGAGGGATGCCTTGCAAACAGCTCAGCCATTCAGGTTTCTTCCAGTCCCAGCAGAGGTGCAGTCGCAGGGCAGAGGGGTATCTGTCATATACCTGTGCTACAGGTATCTCTCAGACTTTCACCCTGCAGGCCTAAATCCACCTCTGGTGGCGCTGTTGATGCCCTCTGTTCCCACCACTCCTCCAGTCTTCCAGGTCCCATGACTGAGCAGTTGTTTATTCCTCCCTACCTGGGAGCTAACCAGCAAACACCAAAAACCCCAGCAGCTGTACCTCCACCCATGGTGGGCAGAGCTGCTGCTCGCTGCAACCCACAGCTCCTTTGAGAACCCACCAGCAAAGCTGCTTCCCAGCCAGTTTCAGCTTTTCAATAATGCAGGTGTTTTACTTGGCTTCCTTCCATCGTTTTTCTCTTCCTTATAGTGAACTTCATGCTAGCCTGCAGACCTTCCCTCTTCTCTTCTTCCCTGTCTCCATGCCCCAAATGTCCTCCCCCGCACACACCCATCCCAGTTGTCCCGGATTTATCCTTTTCACACCCACTGTAATGAGTTGTGAACACTGAAGGGGAGCCTCCCTTTCGGAGAACAAAGGCTGGGAGCTCATCAGTGCCAAAACCAAGAGGCGGGCAGTGTCTAGATAAGAAACTGATCCTCTATTCAACTCTAAGAGGTTTTTGATCTTTAATCCATACTTTTAGCCAGCTTCCTCTGCTCATGGCTTCCTTCTCCTTTGCAGGCCCAGTATTACGGCGAAATCGGCATCGGGACGCCCCCTCAGAATTTCACTGTGATCTTTGACACTGGCTCCTCCAACCTCTGGGTGCCCTCTGTGCACTGTTCCATATTGGACATCGCCTGCAGTAAGTGTTTACAGATGCCAAGAACTGCTCAATATCTTCTTCCCTGCAAAATGCAGAAGCTTTGCAGCTTGCCAGAGGCTGATGGGCTCTTTAGGGTCAGAACTGGAAATATAGTCCCAACCTCCTGCACCCATTCTTCATTACTCCCTTCCTGGTTTTTTTTTTCCCCTTCCAAGTCATCCACGCACAGGGCCAAATCTTCTCCAACAGCCTTGGCACTGCAGCAGAGGAGCATCATCATAGGTTGTGATGTTTCTCCCCAGATTATAGACCAATGCCCCATTGCGCAAGGCTGACTTTTTTAAGTCAGCCTCCTGCCAGATCTGATACAAACTGTCCTAGTTTCTGGGTTATTGCTGCACAGAGCATGTACATGCATGTTTATGGAGTTATAATTAACGAGAGCCAGGTAGGCACAATGAGATGAGAACATCTTAGGGACTACAAGTTTTTTTGCTTTGCGTTCCTATGCAATAAACCTCCACAGCTGAAGATGTCAAACCTGGCTATGGCAAAATGCCATTTAAAAGCCACTGGCTGTGCTGCTTAAGCAGAGTGGAGTCAACAGATGCAACCATGAAAGGCATTCCACAGTGCTCATTGGGAGTAGGGTGGAAATTTTGGCTTCTTCCATGTCCCTGTAGTGCCCAGAGAGGAGACAGATCTTCTTTTTGGATATGTGAAGTGAGATTTAGGACATAGGTAGGGAGGTCCAGACCTGGTCTGTCTTGGGGGTTCCTGATGTGTAGCAGGGAACTGGTTTCTCAAGGCAGTGGCTTGTGAGGCGCTAGGACCAAAGGGCTCATGAGTTTACAAGGAGTTTAACCTCCTACCAGACTGGGATCCAAACTGGGACCCAGACAGCCTCGCCAGGGAAGGCCCCATGTAGCATGTTGGTTTCTGTATGGCTCAGCTGGTCCTCAGCCATCATCTGCACTGCTCAGCAGGCAGTCATGGAGCTGCGCTGGCCAACTCGTGACTTGGGAGGAGTCTGTGGAGGAGGAATCTGCCCGGCCGTAAAACCACAGATATCTTACAGCTCCCAATCCATCCAAGAGGAAAAACAGCTTAGACTAGGGGAAAGCCCTTCTTCTCTGCAACTAAAAGAATATTTTGAGCCCTCTCTGTACAAAAAAAAAAAAATAAAAAAGCCAAGTAGTCTTAGTAAAAGAAACAGGTAAGTCCATGAGGAGAAAATGCTCATGCCCAGAGTAGGCTATATTTAAAGCCACCCTGGTTCTCCAGGACATGGGGGTACGTGTTTTGCTCTGCTAATGCACCCTGACACACCAGCCATATAACCACTAGGCTTTTAATAACCAGTGGCCAAATCCGATTTAACAGCCTGAATTGGATCTGCCCACCTAATTCCCCAGACATTGAAAATGCTTTGTTAAGCAGTCTGGGCTTGGTAAATGCTGGTTCAGGCCAGCCAGGTGCCTTCACATCGTTGAGTGTCCATTTGTCCAGATAAGCTGGGTGGTGGTAGGGTTAGGTATCAGGAAACCACAGGTATCAAGGAGCACTAATGCTGTGTGTTCCCCTTCCTGACCACAGTGCTGCACCACAAGTACGACTCCTCTAAATCCAGGACTTACGTGAAGAATGGCACCGCCTTTTCCATCCACTATGGGACAGGGAGCCTTACTGGGTTCCTCAGCGAGGACGTAGTCACGGTGAGTTACAACCGCCCTTACCCTGAGCTGCCCCAGACTCTGTTGGGTAGAGCACTTGAAGGGGTTTGATTTCAACAGGTCTCCCTTCTTGAGTGTCCTGCTCATATAGAGCATGCTTCAGTGCTTTGTTTCCAAGTGCTTTGAAATGACGTGGCGATTATGATTATGGAAGTGACAATGACCATGGCAGGCAGAAAGGGGGAAGGTATTAATCTGCAAGTCAGCAGGCTGGGAGCAGGGACTGCACACATGATGCCCTGCAAACATGGTTTCTGGCCATCTCTCCAGTCCTCTTCCTCATGACTGTAGAAACTCCCCAGCCCAAACACACACCAGCACCACTGCACAGACTGCTGGTGGTACCCAGCTTGTTCCTGGACAGTATCCACACATTAGTGGATGTCCACATGGGCAGCTTCCCAAACACAGGCCAGAAATGGTCTCTTAACTGTCCCATCCTGGTCTCGCATCAAGAACTGGTGCTTAGGGTAACACCTTGGGGGGAGGTTCCCCAGCTTGAGTTTGCTGGGTTGTTGGTGGTTGCTTCTCAGAGTTTCCTTTTCAGTGGGCAAAGGCTGAGCTTTCTGTCTTGTGAAGGGTAGGTGCCTTTCATGACTTCCTCCCTGGTCCAGATGCTCGTGAGAGTTTGCCAGCTGCTGAACCTCAGTGGTGCACATGCTCTCAGATTACTTGGTCTCCTGGCAGCATTAAGAGCATATGTTTGCTTTGCAGGGGGGGGAGAGACAAAGCAGAAGTTTTGAATTAAGCACATAAATCTAGGGATTTAGATGTTTCTGCGTAGGTTCAGCTGAAAAGTACTGCCTTACCAATTTCATCAGAATCAAAAGAAAAATATCCAAGAGAAGCCTAAAGTGTGTGACTCAGGCAAGGTACATTCTTTAGCTCATCCTTACACCACGGAAATTTCAGCCTAGCCTGGAAGCACCAGCCATTGCCTTTACACTGCATCCAAGGCAAACAGCAAACTTTACTATCCTTAGAAAGTGTGGGCCTGTTTAGCCACTTTCCAACTTAATGCAAGAGCTGAAGTGAGTCAGAAGGAAAATTGCAACTTTTTCTCTTTTTTTGGTCTGTAATTCTCACCCTAATGCATGCTTGCTAATTAGCTCTCCACTTCCTGGCAGCTCAGAGTGAGGATTTTGTGCCTGAGTTTGTTTGGGAAGTGGGGATGGCTCTTGGCAAACAACACAGCTTGTAGCATTTGGTTTCTGTCTGCGCAGAAGCAAGAGAAACCTGTCGTGTAGCTGAGCAGTGTCAGGCCTGTAGTACACAGGAGCAAGGGCAACTCAAAGGGTTGGGGACCTTCAGCTTGGACGCCAAGATGTTTCCTCTGATTCAGAGCATGCCATAGGCACGCTCCCAGTCAAGTGTAGTCTGGCAATACAGACGTTTGAAATAGCCTTCAGTGTGACCTACTTGGCTCCAGACATCTCACCAAAAGGTGCTGGTTGTCAGGTAGTCCAGAATTTCTTTTTGAGAGGGTGATGAGCTCCCGTGAAATGTCCTCTCTCCTTCTGTGGAGGAGCAATGCCCTGTAGCACCGCGCTCTCCAGTGCTGCTTGTTCTCCAAAGAGCAACAGGTTCAGCCAGCCCTCTGCTGCTCAGGCGTCTCATCCCTTTATCACAGCCCGACCTTGGGATGTCCTTCAAGGACAGCAGAGGGAATTCACTGGCCATGGGGCATGAGGTCTCTCCCATGACTGCAGTGCAGATGCACCACACAGGAGATGCCCTTCCTTGCCTCTCCCCTGTGCCTCTGCACCCCAAGCCCTGGTGCCAAACTGTACCACAGAAGCCCTCACCTCATAAGTCTGCCTTTGCCATCCAGCGCTTGCCTGCTGACTGAGGCCTGTAACAAGGAGGCCAGATGAGCTGTGGGGTGCCAACACCTGTCTGCAAAGTCCTGGAGGGCAGCCACTACACAGCCATCCACTGATCATGATTTTTGATTGCTCTGTCTCTGGGCAAGAGCCAGGAGAGCGACAGAGGCAAAGATCTGTCACCTGGCAGCAGCACTCTGCTATAGATGGTCTTGGATTTCAGTCTTGCTGAGGACCAAGTGCAGGCAGGGTCTGCTGAGACCCTATGACCAGGCAGATACCTGCCTCCCCCTTGGGAAGTGCAAGCAGGGCAATACCCAAACAAACCTGGTGCTCAGTGTTATCAGTCTGTTGCATTTTTATTTTAAGTGGCAGCTTTATTGAACTTTCTGAGCTGCTGCAGGACCAGCTGTGCCGAATGGTGGCTTTTGTAAACCTGCAGCAAACAACTGGGGCACTCGCCACGTGCCAGCGAGAGGATGTGCCGCTGTACTCTTTCACCCCACATCCTGCCCTGTGGCTTTCAGCTTTTGCAAGGCTCGATCACCCTTTCCTACTGCAATCCTCCAATACCATTAAAGGCAGCACTGCTATCCCAGCCTTGCAGTGTCTAGCCCTGGGGGGATATTAGTAATTTACAGGGATCGTTATCTGCCATCAGGTAGGAGAGGCCAGCTTGTCAGTCCAGCCTGGTTCACTACAGGGCTGCTGGCTGCAGGCTGAGAGGCTGAAATTGTCCTAGCATGGATGCTAAAATTGCCTGTGGTCAGCCAGAAGCTCACAAACCTCCTGAACTGCGAAAGCCAGGAGCCAGCAGATGCGTCCTGCTCTTCATCAGCAGAGCTATCCTGCTTTCTGCAATCTTCTTTCCGGGGATCTGCCCTTGCAAGGCGTTTCAGCTTTCCAGTGGGGAATGCCAGTCCTTCTCATGGTTGGCAAGAGCGGTGACCTTTGAATTCTCAGTACTCCACTTTCTATTTTTGTGCTTCAGGCTCAACCTCGATTTCTTGGCTGGTCTTCTCCCCTCCCATGGGAGGTCTCTGCAGGGTGGTGGCTCTTTCAAGAGATGCAGCAATATCCTGGGGATGTTTCTTATGTAGGGGAGATCATAGGGGTTGTGGGCAGAGGTGAGAGGGATTTGTGCTCCCAACCGCTGATGGGTGCAGCACCCCAGGAGGAGGATACAGAGATGACTTAGATGTCCAGAGTGGGGAAAAGGATTAAAAATGCAGCACAAGAGTTTTTCAGACCGGGAGGAAACTATGAAGTAGATGATAGGGGAAGGGATGTAGAGGGGACAAAGTGATATAGGTCTGTCTGTGCAAAGAGGAGGAGCTGCAGAATGGCATGGCCAGTGCCAGGACCCAGCAAAAGGCTAAAAGGGCTGAGTGAGGTGGGCAAAGAGCAAAGGGAGGCTCCTGCCCTTAAAGGTGTACTGGGCCTTGCAGGGACTCAGGAGGTTCCACTGTGCAGCCAGAGTTGCCTGTTTCTTCCCCTGACAAGGGTATCTGGTTTCAGCAGCTGCCTACAAATGCAACAGTGAAAGCAGGCAGGAGTGTGGCAGCACACTGAGGGACACACTACAGCCTGTGTTCAGTGAGATACCATTACCACCCTGGTCCCATGTGTCAGTTTTCTTTACAGTCTGCTTTTCCCTTCCTTCCCCATCTCCCCACAGCTTGGTGACTTGAAAATCAAGCATCAGGTCTTCGGGGAGGCCGTGAAGCAGCCAGGCATGACATTCATCGCTGCCAAGTTTGACGGCATCCTGGGCATGGCGTTCCCAAGGATCTCTGTGGACCAGGTCACCCCTTTCTTTGATAACATCATGGAACAGAAGCTGATCGAGAAAAATATGTTCTCTTTCTACCTGAACAGGTAGTGTTGGGTTTGGTGGCACACCTCTCATTGCGAGGGCAAACCAAGTGGGCTTTTCTCTGTCTCCCAGTAGCACTTCTTGTCATCTGCTGTTTTACACTCTGACCAGCACTTCCCAGTTAGATAAGCCTCAGCAAGTTCTGCTTGCAGGAACAGTCAGGCCAAAATCTCTTCTGTTTACTGCTTTGGAATAACAAGAAGGGAAGTAGAAATGCAACTATTTTACTGATAAAATGCTGGGTAGATCTGCAACCAGATTTTTTAACTGATGAAGACAAAGGATGATTCCAGAGGAAAAAGAAACAAACAGGACTGCGATCATGAAATTGCGTGCTGCTTGTGCAGTCCCCTTTAGAGGGGTGAACACTGCCCCAGTCTGCTGCCAAAATCCCTAAGCCACATGGCCACCCCCAGGCAAGCATGCCCCCCTCCAGTCTTCACTAATGATGGGGCTAAATGCTCTCTCTCTCACCCCCTGCGAAATAATCTGCAGCTTTCAGCACCTTCCCGCCCACTACTACTCCCCCCAGGACACCCCATCACCCTCCTGGCACTGCAGCAGGGACTCTGAACTACTTCAGCCCAAAAAGTAGCACGTCAGGAGCAGGGAGGGCAGAGAGAGCTGCTGCTGGCTGTTCAAGCACCAGCCCTCCCCCATCACCATATTTCTTCCCATCTGCTTGGCAGTGAGCTTTTATCTGATGGTAACCTTGAGAATTCACTCCAAGGCTGCTGGTTGGCACAGCGTCAAGTGCAGATAACCTAACCCTGCATCAGCCTTGTCCAGCCCTGCACAGGCACTTTTTACAAGCAGATATTTGGGGGATCCTTATGTCAGTGCTCAGTTCCCCTTTGCCATCCCCCTTCTCTGCCAAGAGTTTTGGCAGGTGTCTGGGAGAAAGCACTAGGGGAAAAGCTGCAGGACCAAAATATTCCCGTTTCCCCAGCCCAGCCTATCTCACAGCATCTGTCCTTCTGTTGACGTAACGTAGCTCAGTGTCCATTTCCAGTGCTGCTAAGGCTGTGCTTTACTCCCAAGCATCCCAGCATGCATTTTGGGGTGATGTTAAGGGGGTTTTTCTCACCCTACCCCTGATGTTCACAGGTTTGGGTGTTGTTTTTCAGAGACCCCAATGCTCAACCCGGTGGTGAGCTGCTCCTGGGAGGGACTGACCCCAAGTACTACACCGGCGACTTCAGTTGGATGAATGTCACGCGCAAGGCTTACTGGCAGATCCACATGGACTCGTAAGTTCCCCTCTCCACCAGACTACATGCATGGGGTCACGTGTGCAGACAGCACATGCCCGGGGCTGGGCTGAGATCCTCCCCCCAAAGGAATCACCTCTGTCCCTGCAACACATCCACACCAAAAAAAAGCAGATTAAAATCCCAGCCTGGGTTGTTTGTCTCTGGAAGGGGAGGAGAGGCAGAAGCCATAAGGAGGTGTTCTGCAAAATCCTTTACTTTTATTTATGGTTTGACCCTTAAAAACGCCTACTGCATCCTTGCGAACTGGGGGAAAGATGCCAGTGTGTCCTGCTTGCAGGCAAGGCGAGCCCCATGTGTTAAACCCCAGTTTTGCTCAGCTCTTAGCAAGGCCTGAGCTGCCTGGCTCACTTGCAGACAGCTCCAGAGGAGCAGGATGAGGCCGCAGGAAGCCAGCCCTTGAGTGAAGGGCACGGCGCAGCAATCAGCACGCATTGTTGGAGGCAGAGGGGAGGAGAGCAGGCTGAGCTGCCGTCCGCCAGCCCCGCGGTCTATTCTGAGCTTTCCCACGTGATGGGAACTTAAAAGTGGCCTGTGATCAGAGTGTGTCCTTTTCCTGGGAATCGCATCCCTCCCCAGCGCAGGGTTTTAGTTCTCATTTTCCCCCAGCCCTGCTGCGTTGGCAAAGTGTGGCAGACCCTTGGCTGGAAGGCTTTGTTTGTCTGCACTGCTGTGAAATGTGATGCGGGTGAGGAAGCCAAGCAGCTCCTGTCATGCCTCTTCTTTGTACAGGAACCCTTCCCTTGCCCACAGTTGTCACACCACCCCTTTAACCCTTCGTTTTTTGCCGTAGCACAATACAAGTCCATAATGCATTGCCCTTAGCTCGCTCCCTTGTCTATCAGGAGTGGTGCTTGTTCTGGAGTGCAGGTAGCAGGCAGGGTACATAGGGAACTGTCCAGGCTCTGTGCAGAAATGCAGCAACACCTCAAGGCACCTGCTCAATCACGATCAAATGACAAGGAGCCAGGGGGTCTGTGCACTGAGTTGGTGCTGCATCAGTATTTCTGAGCACCTGGCCTTCCTGGGCATCTGTCACAGACCTGCCACGTGTGCCTGTGTACTTCCTGGGCTCAGCCATCAACTCTTTGCCTGCTGCTTCCTGCAGCCTTCACTGGGTGGCCTCTAATGATTGTGTTCTGCCTGGGCATCTCTCTGCAGGGTGGTGGTTGGCAACGGGACAGCTCTGTGTAATGGGGGCTGCGAGGCCATCGTGGACACAGGAACCTCACTCATCACTGGCCCTAAAGCAGAAGTGAAGGAGATACAGAAAGCCATTGGTGCAAAACCACTCATCAAAGGCGAGGTGAGGCTGGGCTGAGAATGTGGGGATTTATGGCCATCATAGCATCTGCTCTTATACCCTACTTTGTACCCACGTGCTTGTTGAGACTCAGGTCTTCTGCTCCCTCTGATCTCCATTTCCAGCCTGTGCTCCTGGAAAAGCCTCTGGCATAGCAGGGACTCCTTCGTCTTTTGACCCTGGGTAGCATTCACCACTCTGCTTGTGCTCATGGTGGAAGGCCCAGGTCCCATGAACTGTGGGAGGCTTCAGGTCACTGCTGCCACCCGTCTCTGGGAGGTGGAAGAAAAGGGGTCTGAGTTGCAGCCAAGGCCGAGGATTCACATTAATGTGAGTCTAGAGGCACTTTAATACAAGTGTATTTACTGCAGAGGACAACCCTTTGCTGCCAGGTTTTTAACATCAAAGCTCATCTCACAAGGTTCTCTCTCCTCCCTGAAATTGTGGAAGAACATGGATTATAAAGACCCTCTAGAAAAAATACCCTGCTCTGAAACCCCTCCCAAATCACAGAATCATGAGCACTTGTAAGGCATTTCTGCAGTGTCAGAGACCCCATGCTGCAGCAACAGCTGGCTTAGGCCTGCCATCATCCCCAAGACTTGCCAGTGTTAATGAGACTGGCTTTGTCTGTTCATTACATCGTGAGCCCCTGTTTATGTCTGTAGGCTTTACTGAGCCACAGCTGCCTCTCCTGTGTCAAAGACCCCCCAGCTGTGCCACATTGGCTGTTGCATCCTGGGACTCAGCAGAGCCAAAAGCTGAATCCAACATCCTTTGGCTCCATCTCCATCCATAAAGTCCTCTGACCCCTCAGCTTGCAGCCCTAGGGAAGGAGCAGCCTACTTATCCCAGCTCAAGCTTCTCCTGCACCTTGAGATGAGCCGGGTTGGGGAAAGACACAGGAAAGATGTGATTGTGCCCAAGAAAGACTGTGCCCTTTCCTGAGAGTGTGGAAGCTCCCATCTAAAGCCTTTACTCTTGCCATTTCAGTACCTGGTCCCCTGTGATAGAGTGCCAACGCTGCCTGTCGTCACAATAGCAATAGGAGGGAAGCCCTTTGAACTCACAGGAGAGCAGTATATCCTTAAGGTATGTCCAGGCAGCTTCTGCCAAACTTAACGCTTCTCCCCCAAGGCCTGACTTTTGCCTGTGCTGCTCAAACCTCAGCCATGAAATCCAAAACACAAGAGCAGCCAAAGCAACGCTGGTGCTTGAGAAAAAGTCTGAAAGACTGGGGTGTCAGGGTGGTGGCACAGCTGATGGACCCAGGCAACCTCACCAAAGTCTCTCAGGGATGAGACCCCATGCATAATGCTCATGAGGGATAGTAGGATGGGAGAGGAAGGGGTGGCAGGCTGTTGCATCACATTCTACAAACATGCAGCTCTTTCCTGCTGGATTATGGTGCCATGAGGCCAGTCTTATCATAGCAGAGGCCACCAGCCTATTGTTTAAGCCATCAGAATCAACTTGCAAGGACCATCTTGTGCAGGCTTTCACCAATGACTCTAATTCAGAGCTGTGTGGGCTGGGAGGTGTATGATCACGTGCAGCTTTACTCGATGCTTTAGTGCTTAAGGGAGGGAGAGCTGGGTTTGGAGCCGTAGGAGCAGTGGGTTGGGAGTTACTTTTGCGATCTTGGATCTCAGACTGGGAGAGGCTGAAGCGAAGCCATCCTTGCAGGTGTTCTTGCCAAGCCTGCAAGGTTGAGGGAAGGGAATGGCCTGCTTAAATTGAAGCTCTCGCTCTTCTGTCTAGGTTACTTCAGGAGGACAGACCATATGCATGAGTGGCTTTTCAGGCCTGGACATCCCACCCCCCGGGGGCCCACTCTGGATCCTGGGAGATGTGTTCATTGGTCGCTACTACACTGCCTTTGACCGTGATAACAACGTTGTTGGCTTTGCCAAAAGTACCTAAACACATAACCCCCACTGCCTCTGCCACACACACACTTACACACACACACGGGAGCTGTAGAGAAAGGTTACCAGTATTAGAAACCCAGTGAGTGGAATGGGAAAAAAAAAAAAAAAAAAGAAAGAGAAATGGAACTAGGTTTAAAATTACATGGAAAATAGTCATTAGTGCCCCGCTAGCTACTTTTTCCACTCCATTGAGTAAGTGGTTCTGAGAGGTCTCTAGCTGACAACTCCAGCTGGAGTAGTCCCTTGCTTTACTGCTAGGTCTTCCAGTAGTTATTTTTCAGAATGATTCTCGGAGCTGAGTGAGGCCCTCTCACCTCTCCCAGCACTGATGTCTTCCCTGGGTGAGGGACAGCCTGGCTGGAGCCAGCCCCTGGCACCTGTGTTCCTGCAGGGAGGCTGTGCTGCTGCTCTTGGGTTTGGGCTTCTGTGCTGGGGGAGAGGGATAGGGAAAGCTGTATGGCACATTACTTCTTGGTTTTTTTACTCATGAAGTGGGGGAGTGGACGATGGGGGAGAATCCGTCTTTATGACCCCTCCCTGGCAGGTTGAGGCAGTGACCAGTAGGTCATTTCTCAAGGGTTTATGCTGACTTGGTCCTACGAGAGCATGTCCTGGGCTGGAGCAATGGGGGAATCATGGCAACGTGCCCAAGGGGTGAGTTTCAGAACCCGAGAGCTCTGGTGGTGTGTTTTGTTTATGGATGGCACTAGTGAGAGAACTGGCAGGCATGGTGTCCATGTGCCTGACCTAAGGGGGCAAGGATTTGTAGGAGGGCTCTAGCCAGTGGGCAGTATGATTATTAAGAGGGTCAAGATAGGTTTTAATAGAGGTTACTTGAATTCAGGGCCATGAAGGTCCAGCCTTCTGCTGAGCAAAGTTATGTGACACAAGTTCTCTCGAGTTCAGTGAACTTCTTCCAGGTTCCCCAAAAACCAAATCTTCCCAGCTTCAACCACAGCCAGTGAGTTGAGAATAATGTTTCCTAAAGCAACTAAGTAATCTGCAAGCCGAAATCATACTGATAAAATCCGTACCTGTTTGTCAGTCATGTAAGAACTTTTGGAAACATGATTCACAGCATTTTTGAACTGTGTAAAACCCAAGAGACAGTTGGCAGAGCCAGCAAGGCTCCTGGGCAGGAGCATGGTGTGGCAGCTTCTGGACTTGCACTTTCTTTCCCTGCTGCCCTGTCCCAACTGCTTTTAACACTCTTGGTACCTGCTTTCTGCTTTACTAGTGCTGGTGAGTTCTGTTCATGTCCACCCTGTGTTGCAGATGGAGTGAGGCACAATCCTGCTTTGCAGAGGTTGTAGCTGATTTAGCTGTGCTCGCAGATCCTCCCAGAGCTGAGACCTGTGCTTATGGAGCCACTTGCTTCACTGGGCTGGCAGTGGTAGGCAAACACTGGTGGGGCTGGGAGGATGATAAAGTGAGTTTTAAGCAGTGCTGGGAAGCAGAAAGGAGCCTGCCGAGAATCCCAGCCCCTGTGCTAGGAGTAACAGGCTCTCTTAGCTTTCCCAGTGTGCTGGATCAGGTCCTGAAGTTAGGGAGTGGCAGCAGGTGAGGGGCAAAGCTGAGTGTGGCAACAGGACCAGATCAGCACCAGCCATGACCCCAGACAAGGCTAAACAGTAAAATCCTGGCTACCCAAAATTCACTGATAATCCTGCCAGCAGTACTGGTGGGGCCAAGGAATTTTCCAAGAAAGGTCTTTGGGCAGTGAGTGAAGAGATGGTTTTGCCTGGTGAAGTTCATATACATCATCCCCAGTACTGAATTCACCGTGAGCATCAGAGGCATAGGTGGGGAAGAAGTCCTGAGGTGAGTGGTGGGAGAACAGTTGAGCACAGAGCATGCAGGTCCCCTGTCCCTGTCTGCTGCAGCTGATCAGTTTGGCATTATAACCACACCTAGCCTTGGAGGCGTCTAGCATGGAGACTGGGACAGACATGGGCACACTTAGGACATTGTCCCCTGCAACCCCAGATGTGACAAATGCTGCTCCCAAAGTTGGTTTTTTTTGTGACTGGTCATAATCTTCACCTGGAACCCTGCATCTGAACACCAAAGGACTTCTGTTGCAGACCAACCGGAGAATAGTAGCATGTTACCAAAAAAAAAATCTTCAATAGGTACTTCAAAATCAGCAGATACTCAGCATCTCTCCAGAGATCCTCAGTTTCTCACCAGTTAACTGCCCAAAGCTTCTCCAAGTCCTGCTACATCGTTTCCCAGCTGCGGGATTTCTTCAGTGCGGTGAGATGGCCTCTCGGGTGCCCGCTGATCAGCCCTGATGCGTGGGGGAAGCTTGACGCGGACCTGGCAGTGGGTTTTGAATGTCTCCAGCATCAGACTGAAGCAGGTCGTGCAGCACAGCCCCAGACCCAGCTGGGCCGTGGCTGTGCTGGGCGCGCAGTGCCTTAGGCCGACGGTGTCGTAGCTCTGCGGTGACTCCAGGCTGGGCTGGTGTCGGCAGGCAGGCAGGAGGCTGCTGCCTGGGGAAAGAGCGTGGCCCAGAGCGATGCCCTGAGTGACATACTTGAGGATAGGCTGGAGGACCAGTTGACTGCAGTCTTTCCTGAATGGGTCTCCTCCCCTTGTTCTTTTATTTGCATTTTTAAACCAAACTCTATAATCGTGTGACTGGTTTTTTTTTAAATTAATTTGCTGTCAGAATTACTGTCTCTTCATAGAAAATTGAAAATAAAATACAGTATTTTCCCCCTTAACTCTGAGAGTGGTCTTTCCTTAAGCAGTTTGAGATGCCAGTCTCTGTCACTGTCCAGAGACTCTGTCTTCCCAACCTGTTGTCCCTGGACATCTGGTCTCCCACTTGAGTGGGAGACTCATGCATGGGCTCATGCATGTTTCAGAAGGGCTCCTTCCCTGCTCTCTGATAAGGGAATGTGCTAGGAGCCTGCTGGATTTGTCTTGTTGAGTGGATTAAAACATAACCCAGCCTTTGCAGGGTGACATGACAGTGTCATCTGCCTGACCCAGCACCACCAGGGCAGCAGGCACTTCCAGCATCCTTCCTAGTCTATGACCTTCTAGGGCCTCACCTCCTTAGCTGAGCATTGACAAGGGTAGTTCACTAACAGGGAACTCAGGCTGTCCCCCGGTCCTCTGGGCCAGTTAGAATAAGCTCCTGCTTGATTTAGGATTTGGAGTGGTCCTGTAGCAGCCAAAGTAGAACTTCGGTTTCTAAGTCTGACCTAAAAAGGTGTAAAATCTGGGGAAGTCCTAGAGCCCAGTGATTAAGAACATGGTGTGGAGTTTTTTTCCCAGTGTAGGAAAAATCCACCCCTCTTGCCTGGCTGTGTAATTTTTAGCCCTAGCACTGCTGTATGGGAGCTGGAGACTCTGAAGCAGAATAAAGGCCCCATGTGCCAGGTGGAAGATAAGAGCTAATCCCTACTTTGAAAAAAGCATCATCTACATAAGCAAGATGATGCAGCCAAGTCCCATCCCATCTTCTGAGCACAGATCTAAGCAACTGAGAGCTTAGCTGATTTCCCCACAGGCACGTCCCGAGCTTCTGTTCCCCCAGGATGCCTAAATACCCAAATCAGCTGTTCTCCTATGTTAAAGAGATGGATTTAACCCAAAAGGGCTGGCTGGGTCCTGAAAACCAATCATGCAGCCCACCGTTCCTCAATAGCCCAAAGGGAGAGCAAGTCATCCGCTGCAAATATTTATTGACAGGAATACAAGGGCGCTGTTTCTGGGCGCTGGGGGATTGTGTCTAAGCCTTCAATCATACCATGGGTACTGAGCATTACATCTCACTGGGAACAATCATAGGCTTGATCTTGGCCAAGAGCTGGAGAAGCCAAGAGTCAGAATTGCCCACCCATGCTTTTCCAGCAGGGAGCAGAGCACACCCCACCCCAGGAGCAGCCTGCATGCAGCCCCATGGTATCTTGACCAGCAAATCCTCAGGTTTACACCAGACCCCCCCCCCCCATTTACTGCACCATCTCTGCAGAATTTGGTGCACATGATAATTTGATAACTCACTATTAAATGTCTCCAGTGATGCAAAAAAGATAAGATTTTTCATTACAAATACCCTTGAGTAGTAGGATGCTTGGCCCTGGCCCTCAGCTCCAAGCAACTCTGCTCAGGGCTTTACCAAAAGCCCATTAACACAAGGACCTTCCCAAGGAGATGGAGGGTGAGACCCCTTGTTTGTGGAGTTGACTTATTCATCTGGTTGGCTCAGCAATTTGTTCATTTGGAAAACTATTTTTACTCATCATGAATGACTAAGCACGTTGTTTTGGGGGCTGGTGGCTTTTCCTTTTTCCGCTCTTTCTTGGATTTATTTATTTTTAGGTTTCTTTGGGAGGGAAAAGAAGCAGAGTGCAGACTGAAAGCTCAGAGAACAGGAGACAGAGATCAGAGGAGAGTGAGAAGATGGGATTTACCCCCCTGAGTCTCAGGCCACCTTACTGCTTATGGAATTTAGCAACCTATTGAGGAATTTTATTGGGGTAATTCAGGAGGCTGTGGAAAAGAAACCACCAAGGTCAGGTTCTGCTAATGGTTTTTTGAATAGCTTGAGTAGGATTTGAGATAGAAGACTTTCTCACGGGTCTTACAGTGCTTGATTATGCTACAGCTGACATGTCTCTAACACGATTACAGGAGAATTGCTTTGGGGCAGGAAACATCTGCCTGTTTCTGTTCTGTTTGTCCCATGCTTAGCACAAGGGGATGCCAGCCTTGATGCTACAGTAATGCAGGCAATTATTCATACTCACCCCACCTTTTATTTGAAAGAAAAGTAGTCCTAGACCATACGGTTGAGGACTTGCATGTATGACCTTTAAAGACCCCAGAAAATCGAAGGAGGGTTAAAATAATGCAGAATGTTGAGGGGGGTTATTCCTTGTGTCATTATTTTTTATGCCAGTTCCCTAATTTTGAAGGATCACATGAATGGTTTTTGAACTGGTGATGCTGCCTATATGCTGTTTTGATTCACATAATAAACCTCTCACCGCTTGCACTTCACATGGAGAAAGATGATGAATCACCCACCCAAAGACCAAAAAGTGCTCTGCAAACTGTAGGGATGACTTGGTACTCAGAGAAGACAAAAAGCAGCCACCCAACTTCCATGACCTTTCAGTCCTGTTCATACCAGGAAATGTGTCCACCTCTGTTGATCTCACGTTCCTCTACACCACCCTGCTGCCTCCTCTTGCCTGCTCCAGACCCCTTTGACCTTTCCTCTGCTCATCCTCCATCCTGGCCTGATGTTAAGAGGAGAAGCTCTACCTACACGACTTTCCCCAGACAAATGAACAGCAGGCTCCTCAGTACCTCCCGTGGAAGGCAGCGGTCTGCATCCAAGGGGTTTCATTGTTCCTCCTGAGCCTGCAGGAAGGATACTCTGCACAGTTGCAGGTTGCCTGGGTTTGCCCAAGTCGTCCAGAAAAGCTGACGACAGCTGGCTACAGCTCTGCCTCTCCTGCAAACCTCCTAATCCCACAGGAATATCACTTTCACCCCAGCACTGCTTCTGTTTCTCAGCAGCCCCTTGGAGAGAGTCCTGAGTCTCATCACAGGCAGTTGTAGCCCTAATAAAACCATTTTCACTTTAGCAGGACCCAGTGCCACTTCAGCAGCAATAAATTCTGAACTTGTTTTAACTAATGCAGGCACCTTCAGAGGGATAAACTGGTCTTGTGGAAACTGGACCCACTCCAGCCACAGAGAGCTGTGGATTCGCAAAAAGCTCCCCCACCTCATACAAACCCGCAGGGATGAGCACAGGATGGGTGCCCCTATGCTGGTGCCAAACCTGCCTGTGAACAGCCGAGTGAATTACCATCCTTATTTCTTAGCTCAGCACTTTGTGGGTAGGCTAAAGGCATTTCCAGAGGATTTCCCTTCCCCTGCAGTTTCTGCTCACACAAACTTTTGTTTCACCCACCCTACTTGCAGTACTCTGGGGATTTCTCTGCTACCCTTCCCCAGCACCACAGCTGAGCTGGCTGCTGCCCCAAGGCCACCTGCGCCAGGCTGGGCTCTATCACTGTGGGGTGACACGGTGTGTCCTCATGTCCTCACCTTCCCTGTGCCACAGCTGCATCCTCCCAAATGACCTGCAAGCTGTCCCTGCACGGCACCGCCTGCTCTCCATCATCACATCCCTGGGGGGATGCTACCGCAGCACCCTAGAATTGGGATTCCAAGCAGCTCCCAGAGCACTAGCAATGGGAGGCAGCAAGCATTTCCCTGATGCTGTGCTGAGCCTGGGCATGGCCAGATCCTCCTGGGCTTGACCATCCTTTGTGACATCCCCACCTCCCTTCCCTAAAGCAGCCACATGCTCTGCATTTTGCTGCCTGGGTGCTCCCACCCCTGCCTGCACTGGGATTTGCTCAGTGTCACAAGGATATATTGCCCCCCACGCAGGTTTTATCTGCTTTCCATTCATCTTCCCGTGACCAGAACCCTTTTTTCCCCACAGCACTGCATCGCCACCACCTCCCCTTTTTAATTCCAGTTATCCCCACGCACTCCTGTCACACTTGCTTTAGTTTTTCACCCAGGTTCATGCAAGTGAACCCGCAAACAAGGCTGCAGCGAGTCCCCTTTGCAAAGGTCTCTGTGGGTGATGCTGGGTAGAATCGGCCCGACCATCCCCTTCTGATGCTCGGAGAAGCCGCTCGACCGGGGCCCAGGAGATGCCCCTCTCCAGCGGGGCGCTACCAGGATGCTCCAAGCAGGAGGTGACGTCCCAGTGGGGGGGACACGAGGAGAAGGGCTGAGACGCGGAGGAGCTCTCCTGCGTGAAGCATGTTCGCGGGGAGGGAGGGGGCTGCAGGTTGACCTTCCCATTCCCTAACTCCCTCTCTGCCCATCGCTAGCCCATGGGTGCCCCCCTCCGCCCCCTGCCCGCCCCTAGTCCATGGGTGCCCCCCCCCGCCCTCTCCTCCTCCCGCAACTCCAGCGCCGAGGAAGCCGAGCCGGAGGCAGTGCTGAGCCGGATATGCAGCGACTCCCCGCATCCCTCCTTGTGAGTATCCCTCGCTCCTCCTGATGCCTTCGGAGGAGACGGATGGACGGACGGACGGGCGGGCAGTCAGAGGTGGACCAGTCTCTCCTATTTGCAAAGCTAGGGTGGAGGGGAACCTCTTCCAATATCCCTTTCCTCATCCTCTGTCTAGATCTCCTCTTCCCCTCCTCCTAGCGGGCCACAATAATCTCAAAAAAAAAAAAAAAAAAAAAGGGGGGTGGTGGTGAAGGGGGAGGGGGCCGGAACCTGCTGGCAGGTAGAAGGAACAGGGAAATGCAACCCCATCTGGAATCCCGCAGAGACTAGGACTTAGGGGAAAAATAATCCCCCCCAAAATACCCACTTTCCCCAGGAGAGTCGGAGGGAGTGCGGAGGGGCGGGTTGCTCTGCCGCACCGGGAGACCCGCTCCGCCCGCAGCCGAGCTGCCCGCTCCCATCCCGGCATGGGACAGAGAGGAGAAGGCCCCGACAATCAGACCGTCAGACAGACAGGCGGGCAGGGAGGGCTGCGGGTGGCTGCAGCGCGGCCGGGCTGGCAATTCCCCCGCAGCCCCCCGGCGCCTCACAAGTGTTTCTTTCTGCTTTTATTTGTCTCCTTTGGCTAAAAAAAAAAAAAAAATAAAAAATATTCCCCACTGGTGACTCGGGCTCGGGTCACGCAGGACAGCGGGCAGCGGAGGGGGGAGGACGTGAGAG